TTAATTGAACTATTATTATATTTAATTCGAATAAACTTAAAATTAATTAATCTATTATATCCAGGTACTATTAAATACAAATATTTTAATTTTGTTAAAGTATTATATATTTCTCTAAGCAATGAAATCAATTATTTTATCATGATTTGAACGAGATACTGTATATTGATTGCTTTAATATACACATAATATTAATCATTTGTTAATATTTTTTGAGTTATTAAATATAAAGTGAAAATATCATTTTTACGAAAAAGTGTTTAGTTTATAATGAAGATTATAATTGATTGTAATTTTAAGTTTAAAAAGTGGTCACTATTCACTTTAAGTATCATACAAGCGATCGTAACATTAATTATAATTGTAGTCATGTCTGTGGACTTAAGTAATCACTATTACACGGGTGGCGATAAGGATTCCGAAAATAACAAGGTATGTTTTATACATTAGTACTGTATTTATTATATTTAATAATAATCTTTATTAAACTAATGCCTTGCTATATTAAACACAAATACGTATTGTACATTTTAATTGTACAGTATTATATTTATAGATGTTTATTTTAAACCCAGTTTTGAAAAGTTGTAAATAGATTAAAAATACAGCTACAATATTTAGTAATTATAAATATAATTTATAATGAATCTTTTAAAACAAATGTATTACATTTTATCCACATTAAAATTAAATATCAATTAAAATATACTGTATATAACATTTCAGAAACATGATTATCGGTATTGTCGTAGCCATCCGAGTAACTCATAACATCACCTCAACAAGCCCCATAAACCCCGAATGTTGCTCGTGATGGTGGAATGTAAACGGATGCGGTATCGTTACAGGTATGACACATTTGGCATACTAGCTGTGTCTATATTTTTACCCTGGTTTTGGATCGTATTTGTGTTGAGTTTGGCGCTCACAGTATTGGCAGCCGTTTTCACCAATGATTTGCGACGATTACGTCGACCCCCGCCCACCGTATATGTGGTGGACGGACCGGTTAATGTGGTCTACCCCGTGCCCATACAGTCCTCTAATACCTGCGGTTCCGGTTATAGGAACGGTAATTAATTTAAATTAGTTGACTACCAGTGCTCTGAGAGTGAGTTATTGGATGCCATCGAAAGTCTGTTGAATAACAAGGTGTGCCCATACAGTCCTCTAATACCTGCGGTTCCGGTTATAGGAACGGTAATTAATTTAAATTAGTTGACTACCAGTGCTCTGAGAGTGAGTTATTGGATGCCATCGAAAGTCTGTTGAATAACAAGGAATTGAATGAAAGACTGAGAAATATATCCAAAAGAATACAAACGGATAATAGTTTAGCAAAACTGTCAGAAATTATAGAAAAGTTAATTATTTTCTCAAATTTTAATCATAATTAATTGAAATAACATTAATAAATCTAAATATTAAAATTATATACAATACCGATACAGTTTACTTTGGTATTAAGAGTTAATAGTAGTTTTAATATAGGACCAAGTACTATAAACATTGATTAAAATACCAAAGACCATATTAAATTTGGGTTTTATTAGTATTTACAAAGGTTTATTGTTAGTACCGGTTTTATTTATTTATTATGCTTAACATAATTTTATATTATAATTATTATACTTAAGAAATTGTAAATGTCTTTTTATTTGAATTTCTATTAAATTTCTATTAAATTTCTATTAAATTTCTATTAAATTTCTATTAAATTTCTATTAAATTTCTATTAAATTTCTAGTTACTTTACAAAATAAAATAATAATTTTCATGTCTTAAGTTTTAAAATTGATTTTTGTTCTTAAATTATAATCAACAGTAATTTGGTAGATAGAGTAACCATAAAAGGGTTAGTGTTTGAAAATATTATCGTTATATCAATATAATTAAATACGTTTATTACAATAAATTATTGCCAATAACAGTGAAAACCCGTAGACAATGTATGGAGACATGATGTCAAACCTACAATTATTTTTATTGTTTAATTGCACCCAGTAAAATGAAACCTAATAAATTATATAAATATCGCTCTATTTGAACGTTTTCAAGTTTTTTAAGTTTACGAGTTTTTTTTATAAACTAACTAGATGAACAATGAATACACAAAAAGATTGTGTTTTTACATTTAAAAAGCGATCATTATGTATATTGGCTGTACTCAATACATTATGCGCGGTGGGAGTCATTGTAGTGATGACCGTTCATTATGACGAGGACTTCTGGGCTCATTTGGATGATCCTTATGAAAGTCCAACACATGGCAAAACATGGGTTTGTTATACAAATTAACTGTAAATACTTTAAAGCTAACCTATTTATATGTCAATATGTTAGGGAATGGTTAGAAAGTCTGTTCTTCCAGTTGGTGTGCTATATATCATTTTCGCAATGACCGGGGTAATTGGTGCCTACAATGAGCATTACAATATCACCATGGTTTACGGGGTAATGAGCACGATATTAGCGGGAACCATATATATTGCCTCGTACACTTTTGCGATCGTAAGTTTCGCATTTGTGATCAACGTGGTTAACATTATATTGGCATTCATGTTTGCTGATGAATTGCAAACTGCACTATGTTAAAATAAATATGATTAAATTTACAAAAATCTATTAAGTTATATTTATAATGTTGTACTGCTATATGTAGAAATTAATTAAAATGTTTCACTTTATTTTTAATAAATTATTCTGATTGTAAATATGAAATTCAATTTAATTTTGTATATTAAATTTAACCAATTGAAAGAAATTGTAATTTTATAAAAATGCTTTAAAATTTATTACTATTTATTATAATGCAATTTAATAAGAGCTATTAGTTGTGATAATAGAATACTTACTTTTATGAATATTATTTATTACTACCAGAACTATATTTGAAATTACAATTACTAAACCAATTCATTAATAAATACTGTATATGGCTGGAAATAAATAAGTAAATAGCTGCAATATAAATTGAAGTAAACGAGATTACTAATAACATAAACATTTATAATACCAAAAAAGGCATTTTAAAATGCACTTAAGTGCATAGATAGAAAAATACAAAACTGATAAAATTGGACAATACTTATAAATATTTTTTAACATTATGGTATAAGTCCTTTCTTATATTTACAAACGTACCATATAAAACTTACCCATTATTCATGCAATAAGGACTTTCTACACCAGGACATAAATATAATTAATTTATATAATTTTTATTGTATGAAATTGATAAATTAAATTATTTGTACGTGTGCAATTTGGCACTAAATAGAATAGATATTGGTCTGATATAACAGTAATAAACCAATCATAAACAACCTACAGTATAATAAAATAATATCTAACTGTTACAATTATAATAAACTATTATATATGTAATTTTTGTTACTTAAAAATACAGTACATATTGTAACAAACTTTTTAAAAAAGTCACAGACATTAATTATTATTTTATAAATATTTGTTTAATAAATAATGAATACTCAAGCTGTAAGAATTTTTGAATTTAAAAAGCGGTGGCTATCTATATTTTCCGTGATAAATGCGATTAGTTGCCTGGTAGTAATTGTGGTGATGCTCACATTTTGTGATGAGGCATACTGGGAAAAATGGTATCCACTCTTTAGACGATGGTATTTCTACAATGAAAACAAACTTGATGCTGGTGAAATATCGGTTCGTTACATATTGTATAATCAATTATAATAGTATTTATACTGTACATGAAAACCTTATGCTACCATAGATGCAACTATATTACATTATTATATTAAAAAGCTTGCTTTGTTGTTTAAATTAAAATTAACAAAAATTAAAATTTTATTTATGTTATCTTCTATATGATACTTATTAAAAAATAATAACATACTATTTAAAAGTTTGTATAATTAAAAATTTTAATAAGTCACTATAAAACATCTAGTAATATTTTAGAAAATTTTAAAAATATTGCATTACATTATATTTTAATTAAATTTAATATTTCACAGGACCTGAATTTGAAATGTACACTGGTAACCGGAATATTCTACATTATATTCTGCATAATAGGTGTGCTAGGTGCTCGCAAGGAACATTATAGTTACACAATGACCTACGCTATACTAACTACAATTTTGGGGTCAATTAGCATTATTATATGTCGTGGTCTACCCGTATTAACTTTCGCATTAGTATGCAATATTGTCAACGCAATTATGGCATATCAATTTGCTTATGAATTACAAGTTAAGTTACGTTCACCTAGGACCGATCCAAATACCATGATAATAAATAATAACGTGCAAATTATACCTCGAGTTTAGAATTTGTTAAAATAATTGTTAAAATATTTATAAAGATATTAAAAACTTTTTGGGATATATATTTTAAGTTTAAATAATTTTGACAAAAAATTGCTTTTAACTAATGAAATATATTTTATGGCAATAATTTATTATGTTGTTACTGTACACTTATTAATTGCTAAAATATCCTATTAAAACATAACCAATAAAAGTTTTTACACTTTATTTATCTTACGTAAACTCAATAACAATATTTAAACAGTAATTATATCTTTAAATGTAATGTATTGTCTATATAATTTTCAAATTGAAATTCACTATTTTATCAAATCTTAATCGTAATTAAACTAATAAACTAATGTTCGTCATTATTGTACGTCAAATGAATTTTAGTTTTATTGTATTGTAATAAGTATACCAATTAGTATATTTAATTTTTCGTGTTAGTTATGTAAGAGCATACTAACTTGTAGGCCACCATGGACAATCAGGTTAACAGTTCGTATAATTGCAAAAAGTGGACACTATTGGTGTTTTCGTTACTACACGCCTTATGTACACTAATACTGGTGGTGCTAATCTGTATTGCATTTAGCAATTACACTTATTACTATTATTACTCGGTTTGTATAACATTTAACATTTAACATTTTGTATAACGGTTTGTATTGTTATTACTATCATTAATGTTCTGTCTATTATTATATAAATTTATATATTTTAGTATTAAAAACTAAATCCATATTCACTATGATAATTAATTGGTTGGTATGATAAATCAATTGATTAATTGCCAAATTTAGTATGATATCAATACATATACAGGGATAGAATTTTATATAAAATACTTGAAAAATAAAATATTTGAATAATCTTTGACCAGGGTACCATAACTGGCATCACTATACCCGTGGGATGTGTATTCATTGTATTCGCAATGTTTGGTGTTTACGGGGCTTATAAAGAGCACTACTGTCTAACATTGACCTGGGCTATTATTTCTACCCTGTTGTCAATTGGCACACTTGTAATGA